GGGGGGGGGGGACAGGGAGGGGGTCGCCCCTTTCCGGAGGACTCGGGCTGGCAAGGGCGCAGCACCCTGCACACTGGCTGTCCTGTGGGGAGTCTCGGGCAGGTCCATCTGGGTCCAAGCTGCCGGTGACATCTCCTCCCGTGGCTCCAGGATGGGGACACCCACGTATTCAGGCAGAGCAAGGCTGGGGAGGCCCACCTGACCTGCCATCAGCCACCACAGGCCACGGGGCACCTGATGAGACCCCAGGGCAGAGTCATACTGGGCCCCGCAGGGCTCCGCCTGAGTCTGAGGCACAAGTGCAGCCGAACCCGTGTCCTCAGCTCCCGGGAGCAGGGGCATCGCGGTCACCTTCAGACCAGAGCCCAGAGGATTCCCTGAGTTCGAGCCCAGACTGTGCAACATACTGAGGCCCTGACTCAAAACTCTTTCATGAAGATACCTAGAAGAGGAATAGCTGGGTCGGATGGAATTTCTAGTTTTAGTTTTTAATATCCCATACAATTTTTAGAAGTGAAGGGGGGAAACCCTGACCCTCAGCACAGAGAACAGGAAGAGCAAGCTGTGGTGTGTGACTCAGACCCAGAAAGGCACTGTCCGCCGGCTCCAGGCCACCCTGGAACGCAGCCCGAGCCCCTGCACCCCGAGCCACCTTGTTAGACGTAGGCGCCCGCCTAGAGTGAATCTCGAAACAGCTCCTCCTGGCATCCTGGGGTGAAGACCAGGCAGCTGGGGTGAGCCGGCCTCGCCCGGCCTGGCCCTGACGGCTCACACCCGCTCACTGTCTGCAGCGCCCTGGACTGGGAGTTCTTCTCTGTGGGGGAGGACTATTTCCTGGTGGTTGCCAACTCCTTCGACGGAAACACCTTCTCCGTAAACAGTATTATTTACAGGTGAGGCGCTGTCTTTGCTGGTTCACTTCCCTTGCAGGGGAGCTCGGCTGAGGCCACGTCTGCCCACGCGTGCCTAGTACTGGCGCCACACTGGCCACGCACACGGACCTCAGGGCCAGGTTTCCTCCTCTTGCCGCATCATTCCCTAGTTCCCCAGCAGCGTGGGTCTAAGGGACAGGGTCCGCTTCCAGCCCTGCTGCACATCAGTTTTTGCGGCTGGCCACATTGTCCATCCCCACTGCTTATCTTCGGGGCCCAAGGGCTATGACTGCATCCAAGAGCAGAGGCAGCTGTGCCTCCTGGTTCCTAAAGCTGTTGCTGCTTGTTTGGTTTTCTTAACCGACTAAAAACCCCAGCGTGCCCGGGGTCGCAGCTCTGTGGCACTGCGCGTGCCTGGCAAGTGCAAGGTCCCGAGTTCGATCCCTGGTTCCAGAAAATAAATAAATAAATAAAGGAAAACCCAGAGCAGCCTTGGACAGCGGCCACAGGGGCCCGGGAGTGGGAACGTGTCCCCAGACTGCCCCTCAGGCCTGCATCTGCCTGTGACGCTGATCAGGGGAGATTCCCTGCGCTCTTGGAACTGGTGCTGCATAATCACATAACCTGCTGCTGGCTCCCAGAGACTTATGTTTACAATGTTTGCATCTATACTGGGAAATTAAGTTGGTCGCTGGTCTTTGTTATGTACAGAGCTTTATTCATATCCACATACAAAATGGATTTGGATGGATAAAAAATGTAAAAACCAAGTATAAGAATGTGACAGCAAAGATATTAGGAGGCAGCTAAGCCAAGTCACTGTAACCTGAGTCACACAGGAAGGGTCCAGCGGGGAGCCGGGAGCAGCGTGGGTGCCTGCATTGGAAGCTGATCTGGGAAAATGCGTCCTATTCAGAGCCACAAGACCAGTCACTTGCTACTCACGAGCCCCTGCCGCAGGTCCGGGGCACGAGAGCAGCTCCCTGGGCAGCTGTGAGGAACCTGGGCGGCCCCATCCCCCTCGTGGCCTCAGCTTCCCCTCTGCAGGACAAGAAGGCCACGCCAGCCTCTCTGCGAAGCAGACAGCCGGGCCTCGCGGGCTGCCTGGCGGCACATACCACGTCACCCTCGGCTGGGGCCCCCTGCTGACGCCCTCTCTCCCCTGCAGGTGGCAGGGCTACGAGGGTTTCGTGGCCACTCACCACCTCCCCACCTTCGGCTGCAGGGACTGGGAGGCCTTCAGCACCGCGGCCGGCTCCTACCTCATCTACTCCAGCGCCAAGGAGCCCCTCTCCAGGGTGCTGCGGCTGCGCATGGGCTGAGGCCCTGGGGAGGGGGTGCTGGGTGGCAAGTGGTGTCCAGCCGCCATCACAGGCCTGGCCAGGAGAGGTCACCTGCCCACTGCCGGTGCTGCACAGAGGCTGCCTGGGACCTCCTGTCTGTGTCTCCTGTCTGCACGGAAATATATTTATATTGCTCTCTACGCACCACCCATCGTGTTTCCCTCGGGAACTCACTCTCAACTGTGGGGTGCAGGGTCCCCAGTCATCAAAGCAGACAGGAACCTGCTCCACCCCGGCAGGCAGCGGCCCTCGGGGTCTCAGTTTCCCCAGATGCACGGTGGGGTCGGGAATCCCAGGGCCCCCTTGGTCCCCAACAGCCACTGTCCAGAGCACGGCAGGCCCGCGGGCCCTCGTCCTCTCCTCCTCACTCCGGGAAGACGTTCGCCTGCATATGTGGCATGGATCCATTTAGAGGTTGGGCGGAAGACGTCCACAAGATCCAGCCAACCCGGGCAGCGTAGTAAGTCTCTATCTCGAGGTGGGAGAGGGTTGGGGATGTCGCTCAGTGCAAGGACCTGTGTTCAATCCCCAGTACCAGGAAGAAAAGGAAGAAAGATGCATGCCCTCTGGGCAAACTCCTCAGCAGTCTATCCAAACACTAGACGTTAAAAACCAGCAATACAGGGCCACGGACTTAGCTCAGTGGTTCCTCCACCTGCCTTGCAAGCACAAGGTCCTGAGTTCAATCCCCTGTACCAAACACCACCACCAACAACAAAAGCCAGGAATATAGATGTGATCATGGTCACAAAAACATGAGAAGAGAGGGCTGCACCTCAGCGCTGGACACCGCAGATGTCTACGTGAAGAGACAGTCTCCAGGAAATATTAGCTATCAAAATCAAACCATGGGGGCCAGGGATTTAGCTCAGTGGTGCCGCCACCTGCCTCACAAGAGCAAGGTCTTCAAGTTTGATCCCCAGTACAAAAAAAATAAAAGCCTATGAAGAAAGAAGCTAGATTATTCCCCTTTCTTAATGCAATATAATACTTTTTGCATCAAAACAGCTTAAACACTTCTTTAATATAGAATGATGCATCAGAAGTTTAACTCAGTAATCTCGAATTTAATGAAAGCCCAGGAAGATAGTAATATTCAATCTTTTTCTGTATACATAAATAACTTATGAAAAGCCAGGCACAGTGGCACATACCTGTAGTCCCAGCCCCTACAAAGCTGAGGCGGGCGGATCACCAAAAATTCAGGGCCAGCCTGGGCTCCAGAGTGAGATCAAGGCCAGCCCAAACTACACAGCAAGAACCTGTCTCAACAAAACAAAAATAAATATGTGAATGATGCTAGTAACAAACCCTCGGTGCTCACCCCGTTATTCCTCGTCCTGAGAAGTTTCTTGCGTTTGCTGGATTACGCACATAACACTGGTACCATTTCCAGAAAGTGCAGGGGCCCGGGGTCTTCCCAGGACACGGTGTCACCTGTCATCCTGCTGCTTGGCCCAGGAGGGCAGGAGGGAGAGCGAGCGACCGTCAGCACCGATTAACACCAGCATGGCAGGTCTTTTCATCCTTCAGTCAGACCCACGTTCTTCTTTCCAGAAATGTTCCAGAGTATTTGAGATCTTGTGTGAAATGAAATCTGTAAGTGCCAAAGTCACAAAAACCACCCCAAATACTGCATAACCCCCCTCATTCTTGTCTTCATCGATTTTTTTGTTTGCCTTCGAGAAGCAGAATCCTGCAATTTATGTATTTCAGAGGGATCCAGAGAAAGGAGTACCCAGGTTACAGGAGACAGGACGATTCTGCTGTCTCTGTCTGTCTGTCTGTCTTGTCTGTCTCTCTCTCTCTTTCTCTGGAAATGAGCCATCAAGGAGAGGAAGAGGAAGGAGAGGGGAAGCGGAGGGGAGGAAAGGAGGGAGTCCCAGCTCTTCCCAAGCGGCTGGAGAGGGTGAGCGAAAGCTACAGGGCTTCGAGCTGACGGCCAGTGTGCTTGCCTCCAAAACAAAGGCTGCAGGCCAGGGCCTCTGCTGATTGACTCCACTGGGGGGAAAGAACTTGTACTGTTTGTCCAAGGAGGAAGTCCCTGGCGTATGTAACTAAAGAATGTTATTCAAGAAAACAGTGTTGCAAGAGCTGCCACCCCAAGCTCCGAGGTCTCCAGCGGAGTCCCAGTGACTGCGGTGTTATTCTCTCCCTAGCCAAGGTTTCCTGTGCTGCTTTCATGCACCGTCATCTAAACTGGTTAGCGATTCCAGAATTATGTTAAAATTGATGCAAATGTCAAAAAGTAAACAGCGCGGCATGATCTGTGGGAGGGGTCTGTGTTCCGCCCTGAAACATCCGAGCAGAACTATGTCCTAAGGTGAGGTTGTGTCCCCGGCTCGACCCAGGAAAGAAGTGTACTGTTCTGGGTTGTTCTCCTTCTTCCTTCTTTTTTTTTTTTTTTCTTGAAGAAAGATCCCCAGGAGTGCAGGGAGAGTTGGCTTAAGCAGCACGTACTTAAGGTACTCCATGAATCACGTGAACATTTTAAACTGCATCGTGGCATAAACTCGATTTGTTTCTAAAGTACAATGCTGACATGCTTTTTCAGAGCTTGCCATTAGAGGGATCATAGTCCTTTCTGTCGTTTACAAACATTAATACACCTGTGCAAGTCACAGTAGCCGGGAAATGGCTGTTGACCAGGTCTCGTGTGGCGTGCAGACCCTTAAGGTCATGGGCTGAGTGGCCGAGAAAACTTGAAGAGAAGGTATTTTTTGTGTTTTTGTTTTTCCCTACTTTGGAAGAAAATGAGGGTTAACAGGAAGGCCTAAGAGGAAACAGCATGCTGAAATGGTCTCCTTTTCTCCCCAGTCCTAGCCGCCTCGGTTAGGAGTGCACACCAAGCTCCTGTCTGCACGCTCTAGAAACAAGGTCCCTGCGGGGAAATCTCATAAATGACCAATGGCTGCCCCAAGCTGGATCAAACACTGATGGATCATCCAAGTTTCCAAGCTCACAGAACAGGAGCTGTTGAGACCTCACCACCAAAGAGCATAGATGTTTAATTTCTGCTTCTTTTTTGTTGTTGTTGTTCTTTGGTTTTTTGAGACAGGGTCTCACTATGTAGCCCAGGGTGGTCTCAAACCCACATCGATCCTACTACCTCAGCCTCCTGAGTGCTGGGATTACAGGTGTGCACCACAACGCGCAGCGTAATTTCTGCTTCTTAAAAAGTCAGATTAACTGTATTTCTCACCCCAGATAGTCAAGGAAAGTGCAGACTCACCTCTCGATGAGAAATGAAAGTGAACACATCACATCCTGAGTATTTCATAGAACCAACAGGTTTTCGTACAGGATTCAACCAGCAGTGCACACTGCCAGGAATATAACAGGGAAAGGGGATTTGTTACCGGAAATTGGCCTTTGGAGGCTGGGCTGGCTGGGGAGTCAGGTCTTGAAGATTGGGGGAGTTAGACAAAAGCCGCCCTTCAGCTCCAGGGAAAAAACTGAGCCTGGGCCCAGGGAAGGAAGTGGAGTGTGGTGGTCTTGGGCTTCCAGGAGGCAGTGGCAGGGGCCCGTGACCACTCCCACCCAACGGGGCTCAGCTGGACTTCATCCCTGGGGCCCATCCCAGATGCCCTGCACCCCACCTGGCCAGAAGGAACTGGGCTTTGGCTCCTCCCCAGCATGGGCTCAGTCCGAGCGAGGGTCGGCACCCAGTGCCTGGGAGTGTTTTCTGGCGCTCCTACTGCAGAGGGCCTACTGGCCTGCAGAGAAAGCCATGCAACGCACACAGCACGCTGACGCTTACCTACACTTGGCCTGAGTATGCTGCTGCCACCATCCACCCTCACCGCCCTCTCAGCACTGTCTGGTCTCAGGCCCCAGCTGTCCACTCCCTCAGTCCAGGCCCCACCATGCTCCTTTCTGTCCCCAGCAATTTGCCTACTCTAGGGACATCGGATAAGTACCTGCTAGCTAATTTCCCTTACCCTGATGTCGAGACTCATCCGTGTTGCCAGGTGCATGCCCGTAACCCAGCCACGTGAGAGGCTGAGGCAGGAGGATCATAAACTCAAGCCCAGCCTGGACAATTTACTGGTTAAGTGAGACCCTATCGCAAAATATAAGGGCTGGAGATATAGCTCGAAGCAAAAACACGGGTTCCATCCCCAGTACTGCAAAGATAGATACAAAATTTATTTTGCAGTTAAGGCTGATAATCAACCCATTTCATGCATGAAGCACATTTTGCTTACTAAAGTGTTAGGGAGATGGCGCTCAAAGACACTGCTCTGGCTCACTGATATTTAGGGTTGAGGACGCCTGACAATTAGCAGGTGCTGGGCTTCATTCCAGTTATATTTGTTTTTGTTTTTTTGAGTCTTGGTGGGAGGACGGTCTTGCTGTGTAGCCCACCCAGCCTGGCCTCGAACTCATGACGATCCTCCTGCCTCAGCCTCCCAAGTGCTGAAATTACATTCTGGTGGTTAAAAGCAGAAGATGATGTCTTCTGTGCCAGTGGAAGGGTGGCGTTCTTACCTTCAGTACAGAAAGCTGCTAAATGATAAAATGTAGCGCCCACCCTCCTTAGATTGGCTCTGTCTTTTAGCCTCCATCCACCTGGTCCTGGCCCAGCTCAGGCCCCTTTTCCTCAGCACAGTTTTAAAATTATATTCCAATTCAGCATGCTAGACAGGCACTGGACCACCAAGCCACACCCCAGCTCTTTTTATTTTATATCGTGAGACGGGGTCTCATTAACTTGCCCTGCTGACCTCTGACTTGTGATCCTCCTGCCTCAGCCTCCCAAGTAGTTGGGCTTACAGATATGTGCCACTGCTCCCAGCCCAGGTGTGTTTCTCGAGCACTTACTGTGCATTCAGCCTCAGGCAAAGCCCTGCAGCTAGGCACAGAGGATGAGCAGAAAGCCACACGCCTTCAAGCCAGGTGTGGTGGTGCACACCCATGGTCCTAGCACTCTGGAGGCTGAGGCTGGAGAATTGCAAGTTTGAGCCCAGCCTGGATTATTTAACAAGATCCCATCTCAAAATAAAGCATAAAAAAGAGCCCGGCATGAAGCTCAGTGCAGAGGCCCTGGGTTCAACCCCTAGTACCACCACCAAAAAAAGGCAACACATCCTTGAATTAAAGGATTCTGGGTGTCCGCTTCACCCCATCAGCTGCAGCCTTTCCAGCCACCCTCGTACACCAGGACTTTTTTTCCCACTCTTAGAGAAACAGGGTGTTGGACACCCGTGGGGTGCAGCAGAGTGGACTCTGGGCTGTCAGGACAGCACCCTCTGGCTGGGGAACCCTGGAATCTGGTAGGTGAGCTGAGGCAGGGTGAGCCCCTCATCCTCTTGGGTCCCAGAATACTCTGTCCCCAGACCCCAGGCCGGAGTCCCCCACACAGGCCCAGCCCAAGGCCCCGCTGGTTTCTATGACTGTGGCAAGGGAGCGGGGATCTGCAGCTGTGCATCTCACTGGGGCAGAGGCGCAGGGTCACCAGGAGGCTGGCCAGACAGCTGTGGAAGGACCGAAGCTTCCTCAGAGAGGAGGATGGGGCCCCAGGAGGAGGCAGATGTCCTGGCTGTGGGAGGGTGGTGCGTGGGGCTGGAGACTGGCCCAGGGCAGAGCGGGTGCCGCCTTGGTCTGGCCTCAGTGAGACAGAAGAAAAGCATCTCGCTCAGGGGCTGTGGTGCACACCTGTAGTCCCAGCTACTCGAGAGGCTAAGACAGGTGAATCACAAGCTTTGAGGCCAGCCTGGCCAGCTTAGCAAGACCAGGTCTCCTAAAGAGTGAAAAGGACTAGAAGCCAGGCATGGTGCACACCTGTAATCCCAGCAATCTGGGAGGCTGGGGCAGGAGGATCTTGCATTTGAGCCCAGTCTGGGCAATTTAGCCAGAACTTGGCTCAAAATCACAGAAATAAAATGGAGCTGAGAACACAGTCAGTGTGAAGACTCTGAGTTTAATCTCCCTGAGTTCAATCCCAATACCCTTTTCCTCCCCATTAAGGCGTGGCTATTCCCAAGAGGAAAGCAAAAAAAAAAAAGG